TTTTTTTTTTTTTTTTTTTTACTAAGCTGTCATAGTTGGAAATTTCCAGAGGGGACAGTGAAAAATAGATACGATTTTTCGACAGAGACACGGAACGATTGGTTAATCCTGTCGTATTTTCAGCTTCCGGGGAGGAGGGTACGAATTTTCGTACGACGTGTTTCCCGTGAAACGAATGAAGTGGTCCTTTTTACACTTCGGTTTACCCTTTTTCGGGGACGAATTTGCCATAATCGAATCGTATATATATATCGTAAATTATATTTGTAGATATTAAAGGATTAGTATATAAAAAATATCTTTCTTCATTCTATATTATAATATGAATATTCTATGATTGAATTTAAGTAAAATATCGACTATTATATTATTTATTGTGATTGAACGAAACACATACGTTGATAGATAAAAGAAATACAAAATACTTACGAATTATTTGGATTCTAATATCAAAAAATATTTTTTAAAAGGAAGATTTAAAAAGAATTTATGGAATAGCGAAAGATTCTTTTGCGATAAAAATTCAGATTCAATCACAAGGCAAAGCGTCCAAAATCTGCTGGATAACTGCCTCCATTTTTTTTTTTTTTTTTTTATCAAACTCTCCCTCAATCTTTGCAAATCGCCTTTGATGGCGTTATATCATAAAGTTTTCCTGGATTAACCATGTTGGAATAATTAAACTTAACGAAAAAAGGACGAATATGAAAAATAACCGACTGCGCGAGGAAAAAGTGATCCGGTCGCTTTGCCGAGTTTTTCGTCGTTTTAACGAAATTTTTTCACGACTGGGTCAGAGGATCTGGCACCTCTCTGCTCCGATTTCAAATGCATCTCCAAATTTCCATCGGATCTAGCTTGGTTTCTTGTTCGCCAATGCGAAGGGGGAAAAAGAGAGGGAAATCAAAATTTGAAAGGAATTCTTTGAAGGAATTTAATTTTTAAGGGAATATTCGTTGCAAAAGAAACTTTTCTCGGAAAAAGAGGAATTTTTGGAGAAAATTTTCTTCGGGAAAGATGTAAGAGCAAAGCGATCTTTAAAGATTAATTTTTAAAAGAAAACAATTTCTTAACAATTTTACATTTTCTTTACAATTTTCGTAAAATTTTCGTAAAACTCGAATTAACGAGTCGTCACTTACCTTCTTGGCGTCATTGTTGTTATCGGCCGCGTGATGTGGTTGTGGACTCATTGCAGCACCATTGCTAACTGCTCCGCTTTGCGACAAAAGCTCGTCGCTACCCCTCTGAAACAATAAGAAAAAAACCACCAAATTTTAACGTATAACCCATCAAATCGCTCGACATATAACAATAAAAAACATTCATAATCCCTCTCTCCTTACAAATAAAAAAAACCATCCTTATTTACTTACATATCAAAAAGAAAAACAAATAATCAAAAATATACACAAAAAAAAAACTACAAAAAATACTATGATTATAAATAAACTCCAAAATTAAACAAATCCAATTCTCTCAACCGCCATGTTCTAAAATCGTCTTAAAAAAAATTCCACCATCCCAAAAAAACCTCCCTCCTCCTCCTCCATTCCCAACCCAACTCCCTCTCCACCAAGAAACCATACCGGTTCCCCGGTTACACCGGTCCCAAGGTGGATTATTAAAATCCTTCCAACTCCGTAAACACGTTTAACCGTCGATTCTCCGCGGTAACAGGATCAGGAAGACCCCCCATCTCCCCCCTTGCTCCGGCTCTAATTCCACGAGTTGATCCCTCAAAGGAAGCGCGACGACGATAAACAGGATCCGCGCGTGTGCCCGATTCCTAGATCCGATCCCCGTAAAGTAAAGGAGAGGAGGCACAAGTATGGCGACCTTTCAACCGGGGAAAATACCCGCTGCTCGCCGCGAGATAATTCATAAGCTCGTGGGCGGTGGTTGCGGAGGAGAGATGGCGGCGCTGCCAGTCATCTCGCCCGAGAGACAGAATG